TCCCTTGTGGCCAAAACCCATGCTTAGAAAGCAACTGTTTCAACTTATCCAATACCCAACACAAATTTTCCATCTGCTCTGATTCCATATAAGCAAAAAATGCAACAGCAAATGTTAACTCAATTGATGTCAAACAAACCATTTCAAACATATGTTGCCTATACTTGTTTGTCATGTACGTGCTATCCCTAATCAACACAATAGGAAACATATTCAACAACTTCACTGATTCTGGATGAGCCCAAAAAATATCTCTCACAGCCTCTGAATCATCTTTTTTCCTGCTCCAGTATACATAATCTGAATCCTCTATCAGCTTAAACGAATGTTGCATTTCTGTTCTAGGTCCCCTATGTCTTTCTGTATCTTACTCTTGTGTTTATATATTTGCGTGATTCGAGTGACATTCTCCGGATCTCGCTCTTGCAATGACAAAAGTATGTGCCTTGGTGGAACATTACGCTTTGTTAAATAACCAATATGTTGTTGTTCATATGCATTTAGTCGACCTACAAAAGCGTGACCTTCAAATGTATCAGGTAACCCATGGTTGTGAAGTCCATATTTTACATCAATCTTTCATCCAAAACCATCTTTTGACGGTGTTGACCTAATTTTGAAAGGACAACCACATTTCTTACTAGCACTATGGGTTTCACTATCTCATTCTTTGTATTTTCCACCTTTATTATCACAACCAAATATTACTTTATCACTTCTTCCTCTCTTGCCTATTTTGATATCTGAACGAGTTATTATAACTGTCACTTTATTCCTGATTCCAACCACTCTAATCCACCTTATCACCTCTTCTTTTGTATCAAATCGTTGTGTTGATGAAAATATTTCAGTGATATCTACGCATGTTTGGTTTTTATCGCATATTAGAGGAATAACACATGTTTAACATAATAAAAAAATTAAAAAAAATTAAAAAATGCACCAGATAACTACTATAATAGAAATTCGGTTGATATATATATATATATATATATATATATATATATATATATATATATATATATATATATATATATATATATATATATATATATATATATATATATATATATATATATATAAATTGAAATACATGCATCTAGGTTTTCCGGTTGGTTAATGGTATAAACCAGAAAACTCGAAGCTACGTTATCCGATTATAAAAAACAAACTGGATTTAGGCCATAATAGATATCTGGTTATTGAGCAATGAAAACCGAATCTCATGCATCATAGAGTTCTGGTTAAGAAAATGCACATACCAGAATTCTGCATTATGTGTTATCCGGTTCGCAGAAATGAGTTCACACTTGTCAATTTCACATGGGTCACAGTGTATAGTGAAAATAATAAAAAATATATATAAGTGAAAATAAAAAAAGGATAAATTTGAAATATTTTCGAATTTGTAGGAGTAAAGGAATAACCGTAGAGGTACAGAGTAAATTTTTTTATTAAATATAATATCAAATATAATCTAAATTGATAAGCTCAAATCTAATTAAAATTTTATATAAATAGTCATAATTTATATCTTTATTTGTACGATACAAATGAATAATATAATAATTATTTTTTTATTATTTTTTTTTCTCTGCTCACTAAAAATGTCTCACACACTAAAATTAATTTGGAGATTAAATTGAAGAAATATTCTAAAAAAAATTTTTTAACAATTGTTTGGATCAAACGTGCTGCAACCGTGCAATTGATGCAACAAGAATCAACAAAGACGGCTGAGAATATATTGTCATTGAATTAGTATAACAAAGTCACTGTTGCCACCGAAAGCAAGTTACACCAACCAACAACCCACTGAAAGCAATAAATTTTTTATTATAAATTATAACTTAGACAATAATATAATTAGTCACATATACAGAAATATTTTACTTGAAAGAAAAGATATATTTTTGTAATTTAATTGTAGCATATTTTAAACTAAATTTGCAAAGAAATCGGCATATAAATTTAATAAAGATTCGATGCCTGATCGGGACTCAAGCTAAATAACTATAAATTGTTGAACACATCCCATTAAAAACCGTTATTTTACTTTTTATTTTATTTTATGAAATTCTGTTAACTAGAATAAAACCAATTGTGCTGTTTTAAATTAATTTTTATTATGCTAAAAAAATTAATTTTTATTCTTTCCTAATGAATTTTAATTGTTAATAAACTTATATTATAATAATTTATTATGAGTTATAATTGAAACAATAATATAAATTAATTCGATATGAAAATATATTTAAATTGAAAAAAAAATTATATTTGTAATTTAATGATAACATCTTTAATTAAGTTATACAAAGATAAATATTCCTAAAAAACTACCATCGATAGTTTTTGTTTTTATTTTAATTTTCATATAGTTTTTGTATTTGTCTTTGAGTGAGCTATTTAATTTTAAATGGTTAGATATATGTATTTAATTTTAGTCTTGGATAATATTTAATTTTATTTAAGATTATTTTAGAATAAAATTAAATTCATATATATATATATATATATATATATATATATATATATATATATATATATATATATATATATATATATATATATATATATATATATATATATATATATATATATATATATATATATATATATATATATATATATATATATATTGTCAAACTTTATGAATAAAGGACTTTATTATTAGGGAGAATTATTAGGAGTATCGATATATAGTGTATGATTAAATATTTTTGCGAGAAACATATCATTTATTCACTTAAAACCTTAAGGTGATAAGTGAGTGGACTCTCTCACTTAGTCACACTTGTTATATTATTTCAACACTCTTCTTCAAGTGTGAGTCCATAATACTTTTTCACTTGTACCGCCATACAAGTTTCTTCCGGTCTCTTTCTCGAACCAAATGCTCTGATACCATGTTGGAGAAGATACTAAGAGCATCGATACATAATGTAGGACTAAACACCTTTGTGAGAGACACACCACTTATCCACCTAAAATCTAAAGAGAGTTACTAAAAGCATCGATACATAATGTAGAACTAAACACCTTTGTGAGAAACACACCACTTATCCACTTAAAATCTTAAGGTGATAGGTGAGTGGACTCTGTCACTTACTCACATTTACTATTATATTATTCCAACATTTATGAATAAAGGATTGTTTTATTTTAAAAAAATGATATATTAATTTGTAATTACCAGGATTGTAAAAATTTAATATTATTTTATTGTTTATATAGGTTGAAATAGGAGATTTTTTATTTTAATCATTATTATACCTATGTTTATACTTTCATGGTCACTATTAAAAAAAATTGGACAAATTCTATATCTTCTGCATGAGAAATCAAAACCTTGTTGGTTATCTTAAGTTTATTTGTTTACGTGATATAAAAACATGGAGTTGTGGGGGTAAAAAAATCATTGCATTTTCTATGGTATTTCAAGTTCAACTAACTGAAATAGACTTACTTCGAAAAGTGTAAAAAATTCTAAATTAAAGATATTTGGTTCAAGTATTACTTTTGTTGGTACGATTTTAAAAAAACAAAAAACATTATATTGTGTTTAGATCTATATATTTATTATTGAAATTATAGGAAATATATTTAGTTAGAATAACAATTGTTGTAATCCATTTAATCCAGATCATGTCATCAACATATTTGGAAAAAAAAACTATTATATCATATCTTAAGTTTTTGTAATGTAATTTAAACTTTTATATATATATATATATATATATATATATATATATATATATATATATATATATATATATATATATATATATATATATATATATATATATATATATATATATATATATATATATATATATATATATATATATATATATATAATTGTATGTTAATGTTAAGATATATTATTTTTATATTAGTTGAGAGTTTAACTCGTAACCATGTGATTAAACATATTCAAAAATTAAAATAATTTTGGAAAATGTCAAATAAAAATATTAATGACGATGGTTCAAATAAAACTGAAATGTTAATATGAAAAATGTACAGTTAAGATAATATATTTTAAATAGATAAATAGATGATCTCACTCTAAATTATGAAATATATTTATTAGAAGTCAAACCTTGAATCCTCATTCCAACTAAAATAATGCATATCAGTGGAGTTACTCATTTCGCTCTTTCCAATTCATATTTAAAATTACAATTAGTTACAATTTTATTCTCTTCATTTTTTGTTTGTTTATTTCATAAACCTTTCTATTTTAAAATCAATCAATTTTGGTCATCCTTGTTTTTTGAATAAGAGATAATAATGTGTTATATTTTAAATGATGTCACATATATTTACAAGAAATGCTCTGTTTTTTTATGGTTTTTTATGTGGATTTTTACAAATATTTTTATAGTCTTCTTCATATCAACAATGTTTTCAATAAATCTACTGATTTTCACAAACTTTTTTTCTTTCAAAACAGCCTTTTGAAATTGATTTTCAAAATAATTTTTAAAAACTAAAAACTTAAAATCATTAAGTGAACCCTGAATATTCTATAAAATTATAATAACAATTAAGATTAAAAATAAAAATAAATATCAATATAAAACTAATAGAAAGTTGTACTTAATTAATTTTATTTCTATGAGAATGTTAGTTTTCAATCATTGAAACATGAAATAAATTATGTGTAAAATAATTCTTGAAAATAAAAAAACGCAAAAACAATTTTAAAAAACATGAAACAAACTTGAAATTATTGTATCCTATTTCACATTTTCGAGAATATATTTCCTCTCCCTGAAACACACAACCATAGTAATTTAAAAATACTAACAGAAAGTAATATGTTCCAATCTTCCACAATCCCACGACTTCTCCCACTTTCTGTGTCTGCAATCAATTTCAATTCACTTTTTATTAGTACTACCACTTACCACTAATATATAAACCCACTCCAAATGGAAGAAACGATCACGCTTCTCATGATTTGTACTTATATACAGTATCTATTAGCCTCCATAATGAAGCATTTTTCTTTCTTGTTACCTATATTTTGTTATGTATACCTTTATCTCTTTCTTCTCCTTACTTTAAACAGAACCGTATCATTAGCTTTGGAATTAGGAAACCAAACTGATCATTTGGCTTTGCTCAAATTCAAAGAATCTATATCCAGTGATCCATATAGAATCCTTGATTCTTGGAATGGTTCCCTCCACTTTTGTAGTTGGCATGGGATCACATGCAATCTCATGCATCAAAGAGTTACAAAGTTGGAGTTACAAGGATACAAGTTGCATGGATCCTTATCTCCTTATGTTGGCAACCTCTCTCGTATAAGAAGCCTCAACCTTGGAAATAATAGCTTCTTTGGAAAAATTCCAACGGAATTGGGTCACTTGTCACAATTGCATAGACTCTTTCTAACCAATAACTCGTTTGCAGGAGAAATTCTTATGAACTTGACAAATTATTCCAAACTTAATATTGTGTACTTATATGGTAACAAACTCACCGGAAAAATACCAACTGAAATCGGCTCTCTTCAAAAGCTTCGTTACATGAACATTGGACAAAACAATTTAACCGGACAAGTCCCGCCATCAATAGGTAATCTTTCTTCCTTGATAGGTTTTGGGGTTAATTATAACAACTTAGAGGGAGAATTTCCTCGCGAAATATGTCACCTTAAAAACTTGACATTAATAACAATGGTTGTCAACAACCTATCCGGTAGACTTCCACCATGCCTTTATAATATGTCATCTCTTACTTTCTTCGCAATCACATTAAATCGCTTTGGTGGATCTCTTCCACCCAACATGTTCCAAACTCTCCCAAATCTCCAAACTTTTGAAATAGGTGGGAATGAAATCTTAGGTACAATCCCAACGTCCATATCAAATGCTTCTACCTTGACATTAGTTGAACTTGCTGAAAATCATTTTGTGGGACAAGTTCCAAGTCTAGGGAAACTCCAAGATCTATATTTTCTAAATTTTGAAATGAACTTTTTGGGTGACAATTCAACTAAAGATTTGGATTTTTTAAAAACATTGACAAATTGTAGCAAGCTACAAGTAGTTTGTATTGTTAGTAATAATTTTGGAGGTGTCCTTCCAAATTCGGTTGGAAATTTATCCTCTCAACTTAGTTACCTACTATTTGGGGATAATCAGATAAAAGGAAAAATTCCAGGAGAGTTAGGAAATTTAATAAACTTAAATCTCTTGGGCTTGGAGGAAAATAAGTTTGAAGGAATTATTCCACTTACTTTTGGAAAGTTCCAAAATATGCAAGTGTTAGATTTGCGGGCAAACAAGCTATCAGGAGCTTTACCTTTTTCCATAGGCAACCTCAGTCAATTGTTTGACTTGCGTATGTCAGAAAATAAGTTTGAAGGAAATATTCCTATAAGTATAGGAAAATGCCAAATGCTACAATATTTAAATCTTTCCCGAAACAACCTTCAGGGAGACATACCCTTAGAAGTTTTTAGAATTTCATCCTTGAGAAAGGGATTGGACTTGTCACGTAATTCACTGAGTGGTAGTCTACCTAATGAAGTGGGTTTGCTAAAAAATATTGAAAACTTAGATGTCTCGGAAAATTATCTGTCAAGTGAGATTCCTAGAACCATCGGTGAATGCATAAGCCTAGAAAACCTTCATTTACAAGGAAACTCCTTCCAAGGAACCATACCTTCCAATTTGGCATCTCTCAAAGGTCTTCAATATTTAGACCTGTCAAGAAATCGGTTGTCTGGATCAATTCCTGATGTTATGCAAGACATCCCTTATTTAAAACACTTGAATGTTTCTTTTAACATGTTGGAAGGCGAGGTCCCAATAGGCGGTGTGTTTGGAAATGCAACCCAAGTAGCAATTATTGGAAACATTAAGCTTTGTGGAGGAATTTCACAGTTGCATCTACCACCGTGCCCTGTCAAGAGTATGAAACACCCTAAAAAACACAGTTTCAAGTTGATAGCAGTGATAGTTAGTGTGGTTTTTCTTCTCCTCATACTTTCATTTATTATAACTATCTACTTGATGAGGAAAAGAAACCAAAAACCATCATTTGATTCACCAACAATTAATCAATTGGCTAAGGTTTCATACCAAGAATTATACCGAGGAACTGATGGGTTCTCGGATAGAAACTTGATCGGATCAGGAAGTTTTGGTTTTGTGTACAGAGGAAATCTTGTGTCACAAGATAATGTTGTTGCAGTAAAGGTATTGAACCTCCAAAAGAAAGGAGCACACAAGAGTTTCATTGCTGAATGTAATGCACTCAAAAGTATTAGACACCGTAATTTAGTTAAGATCTTAACATGTTGTTCTAGTACAGATTTCAAAGGTCAAGAATTTAAAGCTCTAGTTTATGATTACATGAAAAATGGAAGCTTAGAACAATGGTTGCATCCTGAGATTTCAAATCTAGAGAATCAAACATCATTGGACCTCACTCACAGAGTAAACATCATTACCGATGTTGCTTCAGCATTACATTATCTTCATCAAGAATGTGAACAGTTGATCCTTCATTGTGATCTAAAGCCAAGTAATGTACTTCTTGATGATGACATGGTTGCTCATGTGAGTGATTTTGGCATAGCGAGACTTGTCTCAGCCATTGAAGGTGCTTCTCATAAGGATACAAGTACAATTGGAATAAAAGGAACTGTTGGCTATGCTCCTCCAGGTATGATCTATATTCTTGAATCTTGTATTGTTTCTTTGAATTCTCCTATATTTTCGTGCACACTTTATAATTAATTTACTAGTGATATAATATTAACTACTTTTGCTGCATGTTTTAGAGTATGGAATAGGCTCTGAACTGTCAACATGTGGTGACATGTATAGCTTTGGAATTCTAATGTTGGAAATGCTTACCGGTAGAAGACCCACAAATGAAGTTTTTGAAGATGGCCAAAATCTGCATAACTTTGTTGCAAATTTGTTTCCTAGCAATCTTATGAACATTTTGGACCCTGGTCTTGTATCAAGAGATGCTGAAGTAGAAATACAAGATGGAAATCGTCATAATTTTACTCCAACCGTTGAGAAGTGCCTAGTTTCACTTTTTAGGATCGGACTTAATTGTTCAATAGAATCACCAATGGAACGGATGAATATTGTGGACGTCACTAAAGAGCTTAGCATAATTAGAAAAAAATTTCTCGCTGGTGAGATAAATTTATATATTATATTTTTATTTGAATCATTACTAACTCATTAACTTCTTATGGAATTATAATTTGTTTTTTATCATCATAGTGTGCATTTCAAAATTACTAAACTACAAAATACATTTTGTTAATAATGGACATCTTCTTGATTTGAATTGTAGGTGTTCACACTTATAATTAGTAATTCAGCTTGATGCTATGTTGTTGAGTAACTGAAGATCTCGAAGAAAGCAACATATGTGGAAATGTTTAGTTTACTATTTTGTTATTTACTGAATTATGTTAGCAGCATTTGATTTTGTGTTTTTGTGTCCAATGTACATTTGGTTGCAACCTATATTAGTTGCAATAAATAATTGCCATTGTATTGCTTTCTAATTCAATAATGAGGGAATTGATACTTCTTTCGTATTTATCTTCATTCCTCTGTTATGTATTTTACTTCCCTCGCACATTGCAGCTATAGATGAAATGCAATATCATATTATAATGGCCTCTCTATTAATGCACCAAATACTACTCATGTTTGGTGCAGCAACTATTACTTCCTTACTTATGATAAGTTCTTTGTGGGATATTTGGTCGAATTCTATTGAGTTAAAGAGTAGTTTTTGGTTCGACAGGATTTATGCATGTCGTCGAAATATGTTTACATGTTGGTGTCGAAGACCTATATACTGTAGTCGAAATGTGTTCTAGTATGTGGGTGTCGAAATGCTACAGTTATTAGTATTTTAAATTAGGCACGTTTGTTATCTCCAATTGTTTAACTTAACGTGTGTCATAAGTTAGCCTGTAATGGATACTTGTGAAAAAGCCCATTAGTTTAGTATGTTAGGTTTATTATAATAGCATACTAGTCTCTTATCATTGCATATTGCAAATCCTAATTTAGAGTGAGAAAAGTTATTTGTTATTCTTGTAACACTTCTAATCTTATTTAAAGAGAAAGTAAATAATAGCAGTTATAACCAATCCTTGTTGTTCATCGTGTTCTTCCATCTTTTCTACCCTAATTGTTTCTTGATCATAAAGAAATAATTTATACTTTGTTTCAAAGGTATCGTTTTCACAATAAATTCGTGCGGTGAGCGTGGGGAAGATGCCGTCAATAAAGTATGAGATTGAAAAGTTCACCGGAGTGAACGATTTCGGCCAGTGGCGCTTAAAGATAAAAGCCCTATTGGTTCAGCAGGATTGTTTGGAAGCGTTGAAGGGAGAGGCAGTCATGAACGTTGCGTTAACGGCATCTGAGAAGACGACGATGATAGAGAAAGCCCACATTGCAATTTTTTTGAGCCTTGGTGATAAGGTTCTTCGACAGGTATCAAAAGAGACGATGGCGACAGAGTTATGGGTGAAACTTGAAAGTTTGTACATGATCAAATCGCTGGTTAATCGACTCTAACTGAAGCAATCTTTGTATTCATTCAAGATGATTGAAGATAATGTATTGGCTGAGCAGTTGGATATGTTCAACAAGATTATTCTAGATCTTGAAAATATTAATGTGAAGATCGATGATGAAGATCAAACGCTATTACTATTATGCGCTTACCCAGAATACATGCTCACTTCAAAGAAACTCTCTTGTATGGAAGGAAGTCCCTGACCTTTGAAGAAGCTCAATAAACCTTGTATTCTAAGGACTTGAAGTAACGAAAGGAGTATAAATCTTTGACGGTTGGTGAAGGTTTGACTGTTAAGGAAAGATTTTTGCGAAATAATGGTAAGTTTGACAAGAAGAAAGGTAAAAGTCAGTAGAAGTCTTACAGCGGTGAAGCATCTGGTATTCAACGCTGTCATTGTAAAAATAAGGGTCATATAAGAAATGTGTGCCCTGAAAGCTTGAAAGATCATGGAGGTAAGGATAATGGAAACATAACCATTATAAAAGATGATTTCGACTCATATGATGTTCTTGTGGTTTCAAGCAGCGACTTAAGAAAATAGTGGATTACGGATTCAGGTTGCACTTGGCACATGACTCCAAACAAAGACTTGCTCTAGGAACTATGTGATCAAGATGGTGGATTTGTATTGCTGGGAAACAACAAAGCTTGCAAGATTGCAGGTGTTGGATCTGTGAGATTCAAGCTCTATGATGAGTCAATAAAGTTGTTGACTGAAGTCAAGTATGTACCTGATTTGAAGAGAAATTTAATTTCTCTTGGTGAATTCGACAAGAAAGGATATGTTTTCCAAGGAGAGAAAAGTATCCTAAGAGTAATGAAGGGTTCAAAGGAAGTCTTGAGAGGTGTGAAGAAATAAGGCTTGTATACCCTTAAGGCTAAAGTTGTAATTGGTTCGACAAATGTTGCATCCACGAAATCTTTGTCGAAGAAAGAAATTTGGCACATGAGATTGAGCCATATCAATGAAAGGGGTATGGTTGAATTAGGGAAACAAAATTTGCTTGGTGGAGACAAAGTAAAAAAGCTGAAGTTTTGTGAACCATATATACTTGGAAAATCTTGCAGAGTGAAGTTCAACAAAGGCAAATAAAGAACACATGGATCACTTGATTACATCCATGCCAATCTTTGAGGGTCTGCAAGGTGTCCATCACATTCAAGAGAAAGGTATTTTCTATCCATAGTAGATGATTATTTCAGAAAGTTATGGGTATTCATCCTGAAGACTAAGGATGGAAATTTTGAGAATTTCAAAAGTTGGAAGACTCTGGTCGAAAATTAGACGGCAGAAAGGTTAAGAGGCTGAGAACCGACAATGGCCTTGAATTTTGCAATAAGGCTTTCGACAACTTTTGTGCTGCCTAATATTGCAAGGCATGGAACTACTGCAGGTACTCCACAACAAAATGGTTTGGCTGAAAGGTTTAATTAAACTATTTTTGGAGAGAGTTAGATGCATGCTGACTAGTGTTGGGTTAAAGAAGGTGTTTCGGGCGGAGGCTGTTTCAACAACAACATATCTGATAAACATATGTCTTTCAACTGTGTTAGATATGAAGAAACCTGAAGAAGTTTGGTCGGGACATCCACCAGATCTCAATAAACTGAGAGTATTTGGATGCATAGCCTATGCTCACATTAGGAAAGACAAGATTGAATCTAGAGCTCTGAAATGCATGTTCACGGGATACCATGAAGGTGTCAAAGCTTATAGGCTATGATGCCTAGACCCAGGTCACAAGAGGAGTATCACCCGTTGAGATGTATTTTTCAATGAAGGTGAAATGGCTTTCAAGAAAAGTGATGATGTTGATCGAAGTGCAAAAATATCTAACAAAGAGCCAGAACAGGTAGAGAATCCTGTTGAGGTGGAGCATGTTGATGTTGAATTACGTATCCCAGATGAAGTCGAAGAAGAAGCAGAAGATGCCGAGGAAGTTGAGAAAATTGTCGATGACTAACTATTGGCAAGAGATAGGACAAGAAGACTCATTAATCCACCTCAAAGACTTGAGTATGCAAATCTTATAGCTTATGCCTTAATATCTGCAAGTGAGGTTCTAGACGAAGAACCTAAAGACTATAAGGAAGTTATGAGTTGTTGAAATAAGACTGAATGACTGGACGCCATAGATGATGAGATGAAATCTCTTCATGAAAACAACACTTGGGAACTGATCAAGAAACCTGTTGGAGCAAGGTTAGTCAGTTGTAAATAAATTTCAAAGTTAAGGAAGGAATCAAAGGAGTGGCGTTGAAAAGATACAAGGTAAGGTTGGTCACAAGGGGTTTCACTCAAAAAGAAGGTGTCGAATCCAATGATGTGCTTTCTCCTATTGTAAAACACATGTCCATTAGAATGTTGTTTGCCATGGTGGCATAGTTTGACCTTGAACTGGAAGAAATGGATGTGAAGATTGCGTTCTTGTATGGTGATCTAGATGAAACAATCCTGATGAAACAACCTGAAGGGTATGTCAAAAAGGGAAAGGAAGATTATGTTTGCAAGTTGAATAGATCTTTATATGGGCTGAGACAATCTCCTCGACTGTGGAATAAGAGATTCGACAAGTTCATGGCACTCATATGTTTCATTAGAATCCAGTTCAACCAATGTGTTTACTTCATATTTAAACCTGGTAATTCATTTGTTATTTTGTTGCTTTGTGTTGATGATATTCTCATAGCAAGCAACAATGTCAAAGATGTAATGAGGGTGAAGGCTGAACTTAATAAGGAGTTTAACATGAAGGATCTGGGAGTTGCGTCCAGGATTCTTGGGATTTCCATCTGAAGAGATAGAAAGCAGACGAAATTATGCTTATCTCAAGAAGCATACAGTTGTACCCCAAAATTTTCCCTCTCATTTCTCAAGGAATTTCCTTACAAGGATTTTCAAAAATTCAAATTTGCACAAGTACAATTGGATTTTCCAGCATCAAGTTAAAGACGAAAATGTTAAAAAGAGGAAAACAGATAAAAATGATTTTTTTAAGGAACAACAAGTTTGCTTCGATTTCCCTTGCTTCAATTGGACAAATGGCTGCCTACATGTCTGCTTCGACTGGACATTTGATGCCTGCATGTTTGTTCGATTGGATAAGTTTTGATCGGACAAATGGTTGCCTGCATGCCTGTTTCGATTGGACATTTAATGCTTGCATGCCTGTTTCGATTGGACAAGTTTCGATTGGACAAATAACTCCCTCTATGCTTGCTTCGAATTCACCTTCATGTCTGCTTCGAATCCACCTTCAGCATTGGCCTCCTACATGATGCACAAGGCAAGGGCCTCCTGCATGCCTTCCTGCACAAGGAAATGGCTTCCCTTCATGCTAGTGCCCAAAAATTAAGTGGTCTCCTGCATGCAAGCTTCGATTGAAGCAAGGACCCTTTACATGTTTGCTTTGATTCACAAAGCAATGGTCCCTTACAGTGTTTGTTTCGATTCAGGAAGCAAAGGTTTCTTTCCTACTTGTTTCAAATCACAAGGCCGGAACTTCCCTCATGCATTGGCTATTTTCATACTAGCGTCGAATGGACAATATCTCCCTTTGAAATAGCTTTCTTCGATTTCACCCTTGAAAATCTTCAACACACAATTTCTACACTATGACACACAATTGTTGTTCCATTCAAAGGACATACTTTGGTGGCCCATTCGAAGGACCTGCAAGACATACCTGGATGCCCCATTCGAAGGACATGTTTGGTGGCCCATTCAAAGGACCTACGAGACATACCTGGATGTCCCATTCGAAGGACA